TGTCCGGGTGCATGGTTGACCGCCTCCCAACCCGACGGGGCAACCACGACCTGCACGATAGGATCTCTCTCTCTCTCTCTCTTTATGTCTCTCTCTCTCTCTCTCTCTCTCTCTCTCTCTCTCTCTCTCTCTCTCTCTCTCTCTCTCTCTCTCTCTCTCTCTCTCTCTCTCTCTCTCTCTCTCTCTCCCTCTCTCTCTCTCTCTCTCTCTCTCTCTCTCTCTCTCTCTCTCTCTCTCTCTCTCTCTCTCTCTCTCTCTCTCTCTCTCTCTCTCTCTCTCTCTCTCGTTCAATATACGTAGATTTAAATCTATTTTCATTTGTTCTCATCCATCCATCTGTCCATGTTTTGAAGTTCCGATCTATCTTTCGCCACGTGTCCATGACAACATGGTTGTGTGATGGTTGCAGATGCACAGCATTTTGCTTTTTTTTCGGGGGGGGGGGGGTCATTTACAGGTTCGTAGACGGGAAGAATGCATACACATCCTGTTTCGATACACAAACAGATAGATAAATAGGTCGATGGATAGAAGTACGCATAGATACATACATAGGTAGATAGATAGATAGATACGGTGATGCATAGACACATAGATTGACAGATAGATAGGTAGATGGGAAGATATATAGATAGATAGATAAATAGACGGATGAAAATATAGATGGATGATAGATAGGTAGATACATGTATAGATAGATCTGTGTGCAGACCTATCTATACATGTATCTACCTATCTATCATCCATCTATGTTCTCATCCATCTTTTTATCTATCTATCTATATATCTTCCCATCTAGTGCCTATTTATGTGTCAATCTGTGTCCATGCATCACCGTATCTATCTATCTATCGGACTAGTATGTATCTATCTATGCATATTTATATCCATGATCGACCTATTGATCTATCTATACGTGTATCTATGTATCTATGTATCTATGGGGCTCGTTAGACACTCCTTACAGCATCCTCGGGGCCGAAGGAAATTTCCTTCGGAGTTTGGAAGGAAAATCCTTTCGTCCTTCCACCTATCCTCGGGGCGGCCTCCCAAGGACGATTCCCTTTTGCCCCCCGCGGCCCGCTTTATAACATTATATTCGGCCGCGTGTAGGTTGTGTCCCTTGGTCCATTGGGTGATGTCCATCTCGCAGTGGTGGTCCAGCTGCTGAAGGCGGGAATTTGAGGACGGCGGCGGCGGCGACGGGGGATAAAAAAAATAATAAATGAGAAGGGACCTCCCGGTTCGAAATTCAAATTTCGAAATTTGTGGCGGACGTGATGATGGCGGCGTGTGGCAGTCGACGTGGCTTCTGGAAGATGGTGGAAACGGGCATTCCAGCGGCGTAGCGGCGTTCTGGCGCCGTCTTTCGTCGTGCTACATTTTGATTTGGTCGCCTCGCGAAGGACGATCGCCATCGCCTCCTCCTGTCAACGGTTGTGTGTGGTCAGTGAAAGATTGGCTGCTGACGTCCTTCGTGACTCCGCGGTGAGGTTGACGTCGTCGTCACAAATTAGTGTTCCATTTTAGTGCGGCTGTTGATCTGGCCTTGCAAGGACGAGTGGCGATGGAGTTCGGCGGAGACGACGGTCATGCGAAGTTGACGATTGTCGAGAAGACGGCTGTTGTGGCGGCCATGACGACCGTGCTCTTCCGTTGTCAGCAGGAGAGGCCGTTGGGCAGATTGAGAGCGAGGATCCGCGCGCGGAGGAGGAGGATGACTCAGGTCGCCCATGCCCATGGGCTGGATACAACAGCCATTAGCTCTGCTGTATTCCAGGTTTGCTGCACCATGGGTTGCGGCATTCTTCCACGCGCGACGCCGAGATGGTGGATGAAAAGGAGGACGGGCGGGACGTGGGAGGATCTCAGGTAGTGCGACAACGCGACGGAGGAGTACTTGCGGGAGAAGCTGCGTATGTCGCCGCGTGTCTTCTGGGAGATCGCTGAAGCTTTGTCGCCTCATCTGCAGAGGCGTGTGACGTTCTACAGGGAGCCACTGCAGCCTGATCATATCTTCGTTTATGCGTTATATAGGTGGGCATCGGGGGAGACGTACGAAAGCAACATATGTAACTTCGGGATAGGGAGGGCTTCTGGGCTGGTGGTGGTACGGGACGTGATGACGGCATTGTTAGTGGTGTATCGAGAGAAGATTTCATGGCCGATGGGGTTGCGGAAGTTGGTCATCCTACGAGCATTCGTCGACAAAGGATTCCCGAATTGCCATGGCTGCATCGACTATACTCACGTCTACATCGACAAGCCGGCAAACACCCCTAGCGAGGACTACTACGATCGTAAATGACGTTTCTTGGTTGTTGTGCAGCGGCGCAGGTAGTCGTTGATTTAAATCTTCGTGTGCTGGACGGTGACACTGTGGACGTTCACATGGGCTACCCAGGAAGCTGCCACGACGTCCGGATCATCCAACTGTTAAGTTTGTGGGCGCGTGCAGAGTCTGGCAGTTTTTTCTCGGGGCCGCCAGTGATGCTCCCCTTCCAAGTGCAGACGAATGGGTACTTTCTAGGCGACAATGGCTATCCTCCATCAGAATGGATAGTTGTACCCTATGGAGGAGTTCGTCAGCACCCTGTCTAGGAGCGGTTCGACAACAAACAGAAGGTGGCGAGGGGGGCTGTGGAAAGGGCTTTCGGAAGGCTGAAGGGGATGTGGCGGCTGTTCATGCAGACGCACAAGACAAACATGGACACCTTGCCACAACAGTTTGTAGCTGTTTGTATCCTCTACAACATCCTCATCGATGCAGGCATTCCATTCGACGAGAATTTGTTGTGGAGGAGGTGGACGCCAACGGAGTGCAGCGCCACGTGGGCCTCGGGATTCAACGCCACCTGCGGCCAATGTGCATTGAGAATTCGACAGGTGATGCACTTATTCTGAGGGACGCGTCAGCAGAGCGGATGAAGGTCGATTAGCGACGTCCCTCCCCCGGAGAATGGCCATCTTCAACGTCTTCCTCGCGGGGGGAAGGGGGGGGAAGGCCGAAGGGGATGGCATCGGTCTTGTGTTGTCGTCTGCATGTTTTAATGTGACATCCGCGGAGGTAGTAGTAGCGTTGATGCGTACCCACGAAGGTCGTGCTTCTCCCGACCAAGGTGTGTTTGAATTGAGGACGCTGTTTTTTTGAGTTCCTCCTTTTTTGTGGAACGTAAATTTTTCCTTACATGCGTCAACAGGATGACATCCACACTCTTATTATAAGGTAATGACACGTGTGAGTCCTGCACGTGACGACGACTTCTTCTTCCTCCCCTCCTTCGTTTTCTCTCTACCCCTGAAGATGTGTGGAAGCAGGAGCATGTACGAGATTGAAACTCTGTGTTTGAAGACCTGCATCCACCACAACGGCTGTTTTTTTTTTTTTTTTTTTATGTCGTGTTGATTTAAGCTACCGGCTTGTGCTTCTTTAGGACCGTCGTCGCGCACAAAACTTGTGTTGAAAGTCACGTAGAATTTGTTATCTTTCTTGTTGGAACTACGCAAAGTTTCAGAAATATTTCGGTGTTGTCTTTTGCGGCCTCTATAGTGGTGTGTGTGTGTGTGTGTGTGTGTGTGTGTGTGTGTGTGTGTGTGTGTGTGTTTGTGTGTGTGTGTGTGTGTGTGTGTACGTGGATCGAAATGGAATTGCATGCATATGTCGGCTGCCTTTTCTTGCAGACTACCTTTTGTGTGCACACAATGATTGTCCATGCACGCACATGACATTTGCAGTGTAAAACAATGATAACCATGCATGCCATCACAACTTCTCCGTCAAAAGCAAAAGACACACAACACACGAGCACCTTATATACACAACATCGAGCAACGAAGAAGATATAAACAATTTAAAAATTTATAGCAGGTATGTTCTCAATTCGTATGGAACAAGATGCTATCTTTACGAAAACAAAATCCCATTGATCGAAGACTCTTCCTTATCTGAAATTCCCTACCCTACACACTGCGACAGCGAGTCAGCGGAGTCGCCAACTCCACTCGCCCTGCCGACCCCATTCATGGCTATGGTACATGGGCCAATCACTCCCCTCTACCACTTCAGAGTCTTCCACACGTCTGAGGCGAGAGATCGCATCGCAGTGGGAGAGAGAGAGAGAGAGAGAGAGAGAGAGAGAGAGAGAGAGAGAGCTGTCTCTTATACACATCTAGATGTGTATAAGAGACAGGAGGTCAGGTGCTAAGGATGAAGTAGGACGACCACACGGACTACCCCTCCTTAAATCTCTCGCCCCCTCCCCCTCTGCCCCCAGCTGCAAAAAAATGAAAAAGGAACCCTTATTTATTTCTAGTATTATTAGCACCACCTTCATCAATTAGGTAATCAACCCTCGACACAAATGGACCAGCCTAACTGCAAACCAAATGAAAGGAAATTAAGCAATTTTATTTATTTCTCTCTTAAAAATGAGCGAAACAATAATTGTAAAATTGTAGCCATGATTGGTGATCTACGAGACTTATTTCATTATTTGGAAGAAAAAAAATCAATATAACTGTCCCCCTTTTTGTTAAACGGCCAAAAGATCGGAAGAGAAAAAGAAAGTCAAGACGACGATTTCGCAATGATTCAACAATATACCATGAGCACCTCCCTGCCTTGTCTTCCTCCTCTCCTCCTCCTCCTCATCGTTGATCGCACACCCACAAGAGAGCGGAAACGTGTTGTGTTCAAGGGAGAGGCAGGGGGAGGAATGTGGAGAGGGGTGGGTGGTGGAGATAGACAGATGTTCATCCAGCCAAACATACAAACAAACAAACACACGAACGAACAGGCTGATCGGCAGACAGGGAGAAAGATACAAACACTGCCTCTGCTCTGTGTGTGTGTGTGTGTGTGTGTGTGTGTGTGTGTGTGTGTGTGTGTGTGTGTGTG